CATAGAAGCGTAACGTCGTTTCAATCCTGGTTTTGTTGGTTTTGGTTTAAGTGAGATTTCAAGCACAGAGATTTCATCTGAGGAGAGAGAGAGAGAGAGAGAGAGAGAGAGAGAGAGCGCGCGCGAGAGAGAGAGAGAAAGAAAGACGGACACAGAGGGAGCGACAGTGAGTGAGAGGGAGAGGGAAAAAGTGACCGCGAAAGGATTTGGACTTAGTCAGGTTTAAGGTTCAAGGTCAGCTTCTGGTGCTTTCCGAGGAGAGAGAGAGAGAGAGAGAGAGAGAGAGCGTGAAAGTGAGAGAAAGCGAGAAAGGACACGAGAGAGAGAGAGAGAGAGGGAGGGAGAGAGATAAAACGAGAGAGGCAAAGAGCAAAAAAGCCAGACATTTTCCTACCCAATCGCCTCCCCATAACCTAGGGGTGCTGTCTAGGTAATTGGTCTGGGTGGCTGGGTATACCCTACGGCAATACATTCTCTTCCCTTCCATCTGCCCCCATCCACGTGGGTCCCACGCGGATTCCCTGCTCTCCCCCTTTCCCCCTCGACCCTTCCGTAGGGCTATTTGATAGATAGAGCCGATCCCAGCCCGTTCCCAGCCTTTTTTCCACCCCCCATCACCACACGCCTGTAAATTCTTTCCGGGGTGGCTGCTGATAACGCCCGGGTCGGGGTCGTAAATTACCCAGCATTTGCCATTTTCTTCGCAATCGCTGCACCCGAATTTCGCAGAGAAGGCTCTCCGGCCAATTTGCACAAGATTTCTTGGTTGCTTTGTCCTGAAGCTATTTTTTTAGATTGTTTCGATTCTTTGAAGGATTATAGAGGTTCTCTAAAGAATAGGCTTCACTCACTCACTATCTCTCTCTCTCTCACTCTCTCTCTCGCTCTCCCCCTTCCACGATTCATACAAATTGCTCTAACAAGGGTTCTGAATTCTCTCAGAACTTCGGAAACTTCAAGGAGAAAGAGAGAGCGTGAGAGAGAGTGGATGCGAACGAGAGACAGTGAGAGAGACGGAGAAAGATAGAGATAGAGAAAGAGTGAGTGAGTGAGCCAGAGACAACTAGAGAAAGAGCGAGAATGGAGAGAGAGGGGGAGAGAGAGAGGGCCGTGTGAGAGAGACAGTCGCAGAAATATACGAAATTCCGGGTTCCAGAATATGCAAAGTGCCCCCTTGTCGGGGTCCCAAATCCAAAGAGCCCGGGCCCCCAACATTTCGTCACAAGGGCTCTTTCTCGCCTTCACTCTCCCATTTTGATTCTCCCAGTTTTGGGGCTCTTTTTCATGGGATGACGAAACATTTGCTAGCCATAGCGGCGCTAGGCTAGCCCGGGCTATTTCGAAAATCGGCGTTTGCTCTATTTTTTCTGTTAATATGTGATCCTAAGGAGGTTATAAAGTATGCATAATTCTTAAAATAGTGTAATTTTCATGATATCCGAACTTTTACCTGAAAAACATTAGTTGTTCCGAGCGACTTTGACCTCTTTTTTGGTGGTTTAGTCTTTGAAAGGTGCTCTTCTCTTTCTGATTCCGGTTATGTGTCTCTCTCTCTCTCTATCTCTCTCTCTCTCTCTCTCTCTCTCCCATCCCGATTTGGGCGCTGGAACAATGACGAGTGTCTTATGATGTATATTTGGGGGTTGGAGGGTGAGGCTCCTCACCCTGTCGTCGCGCTCCCCCGATATTTCGGTGACATCACCCCCCTCTAGTGAGCATGGGGACAAGCAACGAAAGGTGTACGGGGTGCTCCTATATACGGACGGGGTAGCGGGCCGGAATGTGCTGTTCATGTGATAAGCCGCCGCGCCAGCTGCAAATTGGGGGAACGAACCCGGGGGTTGCTGAGAAATCAGGTGTTCAGGAGGCTTGGGCTTAGGTTTAGGCTTAGGTCAGGCTTAGGCTTGGGCTTAGCCTTGGGCTTGAGCTTAGGTTTAGGGTTAGACCTCCCAATCCCATCCAACCGTCCCCACCGTTTTCTCTGCCCTTTCCACCCCCCGTATCCCTACGTAGTCGCACCGAAAGTACAGTACAAAATGCAACGACGCAATTTCTTGTTGACAACCCCCCTCGAAGTGTTCACTAAACCCTTGGAAACCTAAAATGCACTTTCCCAACCCACCGTATCAATCGATCCAAACACCCTCCAAAATCACATGAGAATTTTTCCGGGATCGGCCCGGCGGATCGACGCGGAAAACAGCCGGAACGCTTGACAGTTGCCAGTTTTCTGCTGTTTTTCCGGGGTCCGGTCAGTCTGGTTAAGGGGGATTTTTGGATTTTCTCTAATTCAAGGGTTTCTTGGAATTACATGGTCTAATGGATCATGTAAAGCGAGAAATATAGAGCCTTTTAGAACCCCTAAAAAGCGCGAAACTATTACAGTAATCCACCTCACACTCAAATTTTTCCCAAGCCCGCGTCAGCTTCAATTTTTTTTGCGCTATTTCATGAGCTACAGTACCCCAGAAATAAACCTTTTAGAATGATGATGACGAGCCTTTTTAAGTGTTTGCCTGGTGCTGAGTCAGAAAGGACACCTTCCCAGGGTCCCGCCACGATCCTATTTCGTGTTTTTCGTGTGTCGCGGGCTTAATACTTCCTGTAAATACCTCAACGCAATGCATTACGTCATCGAATTCGCAAAGGGCTAGGCTTTTAGTATTCTTCTTACAGCAAAGCCAATTATTAATCGTTTACGCTATGCTTTACGCTTCTTAGAGTTCGGTGTTCATATTTTGAAGGTCTTTCGTTAAAAATAGTGCTTTCTGCCCGTATATTCAAAAATGACGATTCATAAGCTGCCAGGTGCTTTCCACGGCTTTTCCTCCTAGCGACCGACCCCATAGAAACCGAGACATTTTCAAGAAAAAAACTAGGAAAGACTTATATAAAGCAATTCCCGGGCCCTGCGGCTACGCAACAATCCCATCAACACCCCTCCCCCCCGGGATTGACGTGTGCTTTGTTAATTATTTATCTGTTCCGGGGCAAGGGCTGGGGACGCCTACGAAATGCTCCAAATTGCGCTGATTGGGACGCTGCTTTAAGGGAAATTTACATCAATTGTTGTTAGGTTTTGGTTAGGCTCAGGCTTAGGCTTAGGCTTAGGTTCCGCTTAGGCTTAGGCTTGGGATTAGGCTTAAGCTTGGTTTGGGTTTGGTTTGGGCTTAGGCTTAGGCCTAAACTTAGATTTAGGCTTAAGCAGAGGCTCAGACTTAGGCTCAGGCTTAGGCTCAGGCTTAGGCTTGGGCTTAGGCTTAGGCTTACAAGGAGTCGTTTTTAGGTGATATTGGAGTTTTTGAGCGAGACCTAGCTAGTTCTATAGAGAAAAAAATTCTGAGCGAGATGTCGTTTTCCAAATCTGCTAACCGTGTATTGTATTCGATAAAAATTAATTTGAAAATCATTAATTTCGCCATCATTTCTCAGCTGATCCGCAGGTTTAGCTCGGGGCGGGCGCGAGAACATAGCCCCCTTCAGACCCTTGAACGACCATGATCGCGTGTCATATTGGTAGTGCATTTGCTTCACAAGTTTTATCTTTTTTTTGCCTTCGGGTTCGACTCCTAGCTAGTGAAACTCTTTTGCTTTTTGCTCTGTGATGCCAAATATGGCCTAAATAGCGTTAAAAACCAAAAAGCAAAACAGCTAATCAAAAACAGTTCCGAACCCGCGAGCATAATTTTGCAAAAGCTTGATAGGCGCCTGCACTATCCACTAGGCCACCAGCTGATGCGGATGCTGGTGGCATTGCCGCCTATGTCCCGGGCCTGATCCATCGGTGGCCGCGTGGCGCCACGGAAATTTTTTCATTAAAATTAATTTTTATAGAATACAATACACGGTTAGCAGATTTGGAAGACGACATCTTGCTCAGAATTTTTTTCTCTAACGAACTAGCTAGGTCTCGATCAAAAACTCCAATATCACCTAAAAACGACTCCTTGTTAGACTTGGGCTGAAGCTTCAACTTAGGCTTAGGCTTATGTTAGTCATAGACTTAGGCTTATCGTTATGGGTAGGCTTAGGCTTATACTTGACTGAGTTCGGCTTAGCCCTTCATCAATCAATTTCTGACAAATCACCCACCCATTCTCCCCTTTATTTTTAGCTACACACCAAAACAATTAACACCGCCGTGCCCAATCTTTGAAGGTCACCCCCCGTTATCACTCAAAAAAAGACAGGGGAAGATTACTCGATTTGGCTAAATACCCGCCTATCGTCCCCGATATCAATCATTCATCTATTTTCGTGGCGGGACCCCGGCCGCAAATTCTGCGGGGCGAAACGCGGGGCGGACCCGTGGGAATCTATACAGCACATGTAAAAGTGCTCTTTGTTGCCTTTAGCCCTCCGGCGATTGATATCAACGTTTTTTGCGGGGTTTTCTGGGGATTTTGGACGATGGACTTTGCACGGTTCAAAGTATGGAATTTAGGGTTTTGGCTGGAAATTAAAGTTTGAGCTATTTTCGGTTTTTTCGAAACTGATAAATCGAAAATTAGCTTTTTCGTATCAATTTAACCATGTTTCTGGTGAAAAAAACGGTCTAGAAAGCTTTAAAACATTAGGCGGCTTCAGGCTTAGGCTAAGGTTTAGACCTGGCTTAGCCGTAGGCTTAGGCTTGGGCTTGGCTTAGGCATCGCTTAGGCTTGGGTTTGGGCTTAAGCTTAGGCTGGGCTTAACTTGGCTTAGGCTTAAGGTTTCGGCTTAGACTGAGACTCACGCTTGGGCTTCAACTTGACGTAAGCTTCGTCTATGCTTCTCCTTTGTATTCCACTGGCCTTCCATACGATCACAAAACCACCTCCGTAACGGACTTCCGGGGCCCAGGGTCCAGCCTGGATCGGTGCTCGGCCACGGAACCAGGTTTTTTGGTGGGTCCACAAAGTTACACTAGGCGAGAGAGAGAGAGAGAGAGAGAGAGAGAGAGAGAGAGAGAGAGATAGATCGAGGGAGAGAGAGGGCCCAACAGAGGGCCATGCCTGGGCGGCATGGCCACCACGTGTCCACCACCCCCCTTGAAAATGACCCCCAAAAAACGAGGGGAGAAGAAGGAGGTTCTCAGCCCGTGCAGCCAGCCGCCCTCTTTCAACCCCGGGTTGACGCACGAGATTCCGGTAGCAGCCGAACCGGTGACTGTTGCTATCTCTCGCCCATCTCTCTCTTACTCAATTTTCTCTCGCCTCCCCCAATTGAAATCTCCTCCCATGTCACGTGTGGCTGCTCGCGATAATTTGTTGATACGATCTGGGGGAATGAACAAGGAACTTTATCAGTATAGCTCTTTTTGTCGAGGGAACCACATGGTCTCGTATGTCGATAGGAGTCTTTCGTAGCTCTTGGAATTGAAGTTCGTATTGCACTGTATTGTTGTGACTTAGCACATGCTACAATACTGTACTTTATCATACGGTAGAGTACTCTACGTTTAAGACACGTCACGGTACGATACTGTAGGCTACGATACGATACTTTATCATACGGTATTTTCGTGTAGAAACTAAAAAAATATCTTTGTATTTTCCTTGTGATTAGCTAGGAGTATACGATAGAATCCTCGACGAAATTGTACGATTCGATAATGATAACTGACGGTACGATACTGTACACGATAGTGTGCGCTACACTACCGTACGTTACGCTACGGTGCTTGTGAGCATCCATTTCCAGACCGTACGCCTTTTTATGCACGCTCCAAATCATTCTTAGTGAATTTCGGAACTATATCGATTTCTAGCCTCGCCCTTTTCTACCATTTTCCCAAAAATCGCTGCTAGTTTGCCTCTATAGCACCAAATTTATATTGAATCTATCAATGTGTATCCAATTAGCTCGTCTTCTCTGTTTTTCTCGCTGTCTCTGTCTCTCTCGCTCTCTCACCCCTCCAATTTCAGCCCAACTATGATGAAAAGTGAGCCAATCCCCTGTGTGCGCTGCTGTGTGGGCAGTTCTGTGTCCCCGGGGTCAGTCACGGCCCGTGGTTACTGTAACCGGGTTCGTTTCAGCTCGCTCGGACTGTCGCTGAACAAGGTTGGATCGTTGAACAGGTCCCTAGCCGGGACGGGACCTCATTCTCGTGGGGAGACGAGTTTGGAGCTCGAGGCGATTGCGGCTGTGCATGAGGTGAGGATTAGGCTCTTGGTTAGGCTTAGGCTTGGGCTTAGGATTATGCATAGGATTAGGCTTAGGTCTGGCTTAGGCTGCTCTTAGGCTTAGGCGTAGGCTTAGGTTTAGGCTTGGCTTGAGCTTAGGCATAGGCTTCGGTTTAGGCCTAGGTTTCACTTAGCTTAAGCTTAGGCTTGGCTTGGGCTGAAGTTTATCCTTAGGCTTATACTTAGGCTTGTGCTTATGTTTAGGCTTAGGTCTAGGTTTGGCTTAGGCTTAGGCTTAGGCTTAGGTTTGGCTTGGGCTTATGCTTATGCTTAGCTTAGGTTTCGGCTTCGGCTTAGGCTTCGGCTTAGGCTTCGGCTTCGGCTTAGGATTGGCTTGGGCTCAGGCTTAGAATCCTTCCCAAACTACAGACATTTTCATATTAATCTCCATTTTCCAGCTCTCCTTCGCCGTGCAATCGATCTCCGTCTCTGAAATACTCCCCCGAACGCCGGATCTGATTTTTGTTAATATGACAACCCTAGAAGGTAAGCCCGAAAAGCTTAACCTATCGAAAAGCCAAGTTCCAGGCCAACCCTACTGCCTCGAGCTGACCCTAAAAGGATGGCGAATCACCTCCCAGCGCAGTGATTGTATGGTAAGTTCGGAATTTTTTCAAAACTTTCAAAAACCAGTTCAAAACCAAACTTTTTTTTCTAGACGGGCGACTTCACGCGACTCGACTTATTTACAAAATACTATGAAAGTCTCTACGCATTAATGGACGATATCTCGCCCGGATACCGGGTGCGATTCGGCGAGAAATTGGCGATGAAGCTGAAAATGTTGCAGGTTTGTGGAAATCAAGCATTTCCGACGCTAAAAAATCATTTTTGGATCTAGAAGCTAATGGAAAAATAGCCTGTTAAACTAAAAATGACAAATATAGCCTAGAAAAACAAGGAACTCGATGGTTCTTTCGCATTATCGGGGGAAGAATTTGTTCTTAGGAACCAAGTTTTGAATTATCAATAGCGGTAGTATTTCTCAACGGTTTTCGACTATTCCTAAACTTTACTTTACAAATTCACATTATTCACACATATTCACAACAAGCCACAACTTCACAAATTGTCATTAAAAAATACCAAAAAATCTAGATTTTTCGACCAAAAATGACCGTTGTTTGACCAAAATTCCCTTTTTGAAAAATTTTTCAACGTTTTTAGAAAGTTTAACTAGTTTAAACATCGTTTTATTCGCTAAAAACATGATTAAAAAACTTGCGATTCAGCTACTAGGCATTTCTGGAATTATAGAAAACAGTTCCCCCCGCGATAATGCGCAAGAACCCAAAAAGATTTCAGACATTAAAAAACATTCCAACAATGACAGATAAAACCTATCCTAACTAAAAACACCCTTAACTTTAGAGCGGCGGAGAAATGGACTGTATGGCACCGTGCGGAAGCTATGCTTCACCCCCGTTATCACTATCCAGCGGCCCCGAATCGCTTCATGGATCAACCGATTCTCTACCCGTTGTTACCCCGGTCTCATCGCCGACCCGGGAGTTTGAAAAAGCTTTATTCGCATAAGTATCTTCCCTTTTCTCCGATTCCCCCGCGATTGACTATATCATTTTCCAAGACCAAACCATCTCATCCTAGCATTTCCGGTTCTGGACTATTAGCGGAGGGGTATCTAGACAATACCTACCTAGTGAAAAGTTTTAGCGTTTTATCGTGTATTTTCATACTTTTTGTTGCTAAAACCACGTTAAACGTTGAATATTTTGACGATTTTTCTACATTTTTGATCAAATATCAAAATTTTAAAATGGCACGTACTTTCTTTTTGGGGCTTATACTCAGCTAGAAATAGATTTTATTTTCTTCAGCGCCTTACAGTTTTCTAACGGTTTTGTTTGCTAAAACTTCATAAAAACATCATTAGAAAATGCGTAAAAAAATTAAATTTTTGCCGATTTTCATGCATTTTTGGCAAAACATCAAAATTCCTACTTCAAAGCAGCGTAGAATCCTCCTAAAATGGTGCGGATATCATTAATAAGGCCCTACGGGGCGATAAGCCAAAGTCAGTACCCCCCCGCTAACAGTCCAGAGTCCCATTTCCGCTCGCGCAAACTACTTATGTTAGCTCTCTTTATATTCCCCCACTGTTCATAAGCTCAATTTGTACATCATCACCCCCCATTCAAACATATTACACGTATAATCATATGTTTGAAACATTACTTTTCTTGTCTTGTTATAATGGGTATCTGTGACCGTTTGGAGGGTATGACCGTGAATATCATTGTGATTTGTAACGTGTGAACGAGAATAGCCGATAGTAAAAGGCACCGCTTTCCCGCCCGTTTTTTTTAGACCTGATATGTAATTTTTTTGCTTTTTTAGAAGGTGAATAAATCTTCCGAGTTCTTCGGCGGCAAAACACACAAAACAGCGGCACATTTTGGCATCAATACCTTTAATACCTAACCAAAACCCAGATTTTAACTTTATGTAACGGAAAAATAGATAATTTAAGAGTCAATAACTTGAAAACTTTCAAAAAGTCGACTTTTCTATTTTTGGTTCCCTCGACGATTTGCCCGTGCCGCGCTATAGCGCGCCCGTTGCGATGACGACACCTAAATCCTTCCTCGCTCGATCAAAAACCCAGAAAAATTAGTTTTACTGATTAAAATTTTAATATTGAAACATTTAGATAGGCGAATGTTATTGAAAATGATTGGTATTACACATCGCTGCTTGATGAGCTTTCGTAAAGTCCGATATCGTCGCGAATATGCCCAATTTACTCGGTTTTCAAAAGCAGTTTTTGTCCCGGATTCGCTTGCGGATAGCCATAGCGGTTTTTTTTCAGTGAAAAGGAGGGGTATACCGATAATAACGATAGGTTATGTGAAATCCCTGAAATGGATGCGAAAATGTCCATTTTACCCAGCTAAAAAAATCAATTTTGATTCCGATTTGCGTACCTGTATTGCTTTCTGTAAGCTTTTTCATTGAAAAATAAGGATAAGAAGAGGCTATCGTTGTCAGAGATTCTACGATGAATCAATTCCCCGGATTAACAGACCCCTTTTCGGTGAATCTTCATATCGCCGAATTTTCATATCGCCGAATTTTCATTTCGCCGAATGTTCATTTCGCCGAATTACGTATGAAAATCTATGTTGGAGACCTTGGAATTTACAATATTTTGCTCCGCCTGCCAGATGATTTTGTCGGAGCATCAAGAAGATAACTTTACCTTCGTTGAAAACAGCGGCACTGATGTTTGCTTCGACCTATTCCTGAAGAAGAGGCCAGCTGAGCTATATTTTATTGTTCGCTAGATAACGGGCTACGAAAAACCGGCCGAATGAAGTTTTGTGCAATAAGCTTTAGACGAAGTACACATTCGGCGAAATAAAAATTCGGCGATATGAAAATTCGGCGATATGAAAATTCGGCGAAATAAAAATTCGGTGAAATGAAAATTCGGCGATATGAAAATTCGGCGAAATGAATGTAAATCCCCCTTTTCTATTCCGGAAAACCCTTCGACGTCACCTCTTCCGGTCCCATTCCACGCCCGCAATCGCGGGCACCTCGCCCTGAAATTGAAATCGAATTCATCAAGCGGCGTCGGGGCGCCGACGCTGCTTTTCCCTACTTCCCCCCTCCCCCCCGCCCCCCTAGTCTCACCCCGGGTATGGGCAATCGGCCAATATGCGCGACATCGGATAAGGTTATTTCCTTTTCTGAGCTTTTCAGGGCTTGAGTTTACACTTCGTCTTTTAAAGCCATATTTAGGGTGAGGCCGAGGAGTCCAATCGGATGCTGAATGTCCCCTCCACTTCTGGCCTCACTGCGGTAGGCTAGTGCCTTTTTTGCGAAAAAATAATTTTAGAAGCCTCCCGTCGGGCGTTCAGAATATGGGCGTGTCAAGGTAGCGTTGGGCCCAGGAAAGGTAGGTATATCAAAATCGATCAAAGAATTTTTAGGGCCTTATGGATTGGGTGCGGCTGACGAAAAACAAGGTGTTAGCCAAGAAACAGATGAAGTTCGTGGATCACGAAGAGTTGTCGAAGCACAGCACCGAGGAGGATTGCTGGATACATTTGTTTGGAAAGGTAGCTTTTTTGATCGACTATTTTTCTGCAGCGAGTAGCTTTTAGGTAATATTGACCTGTTTGCGACGTGGCATACCCTTTATCCGAGAGAGCTTGAAATTCTCAACAGACCTCATCGTTGAAAAATTTGCTGAATGATGACGATTTTCGTGAAAAAGTTTCTCATAGTTTTCATTTTGTAAAACGGGGCCAAAAATAGGCCAAATTGCTCCTTTCAGACTGATCTCGCATACCTAGGTCGTTCAACAACTTGCGGCTTGATTGTTCTGAATGCGGCTTGTTCAGAATTTTAATCTCTATCGAATTAGCTATATCACAATGAAAAGTGCAATATCACCTAAAAACGGCTCATTGTCCGGTTTCTAAAAAGGTATTTAGGTCTACGACGTAACGGAATACCTCGATTTCCACCCGGGTGGCAAGCCGGAGCTGATGAGGGCTGCTGGGCGAGATGGCACTGCGCTTTTCAACCAGTACCACGCCTGGGTACGCTACGAGACGATCCTAGAGAGCTGCTACGTCGGCGCCTTCAAGGGGAACCTATCACATTGTAAGTGGCTGATTTCGGCGACTCGACAACTCGTATTTAGCGCGTAACGCCTTTCCTAAAGTGTTTGTTTATAAGACAACGCTTTATTCTGCTAAGAACTAGATCTTGGCGTTAAATAGGCTTCAATACACGGCCCCACGGATCAGCTTTTCTAGCCGTTTCTTTTCAGTGAAACCATGCGATCCTCCAAGTACCGAAAATCGCGAATCCGCCGGCGGAGATCAGGATCTACGAGATGCTACTATGTTTGTGCTTTTATACTATTAAGACAGCTTGTTTAGGGTGATGACCATGTTCGATCGACTAATTGTCGCCAATAAGGAGTGGAAAGGTAGCCGATTCAAAAAAATCAGGTTTTTTTGTTTTTAGGAATCTCCAGTGAATGCCTGACCATATCGACGACCAAGAATAGTTTGCGAATCCTTGTCCGCCCGTTCAACAAGGAGCCGGTGCAGATTGAGTGGGGTAAAATGCGTGTAGAACCTTCTGAAATGAGAATCTAATTGTTAGTCGGTGTTCCTCGGCCGATTGCCGAAGCCTCTTTCAAGTTGGAGATGAATGACGAGCAGGTAATTTTAGGCAGGATTTGCTTTATTAAGAGCTTCTAGATAATCCTGATCTTCGATGTGACGATTTCGATCAAAATCCTCGAGTCAGCTGGGATCTACAAATTGGAAAGAAATCCAGGTTGGAGAGAATTTTTTTAAAGAGGCTTTTTTTCTAAAATGACTCTTTCGCAAAATTATAATTAGAAAAGTTTGTCTTGCTACTCTTGCTCCTTTTGACCTTTTTCTAACGGCAGCTGAGCGCCGATTTTTCGCAATGCTGATATGTCTGAAAAAAATTATTTGGAAAATAGGAAAAAATTGCTTTTAAAAAAATGATTTTTTGAGCGTGATTTTCAGTCATATTTTTTGCGAAAAAAAATGTTATGAAAAACCGAAATCCTGACTCTTATTCTTGAATGTAAATTTCTCGCTTTAGCTCGTCGATACCACGCTACGACGGTGACAACGATAAAGCGGCTCAACCACGACACGCTGCTCATCGACTTGGAGCTGCCGCGCGGGCTGTACATGCCGATACCCGTCGGCCACCACAACTCGTTGGCTATCAAGAAAGGAGGTGGGTTTCTTCCAAATATTTCCAGCAACATTTCTCCCTTTCCAAAAACGAAACCATCTTTATTCATCTGGGGCCCAAGGTAACGTCATTTGAACACAAAAGTTTTCGTTTTGCTTAATCGATATGGCAGAGCAGAGCAGTCAATGGATGGCGTGGCGCGTCTAGGCGTCTTCGGTAATTTCCAGCTTGAAGGCGCTGATGGCGCCCACCTGGGCGTCCCTAAAATTGTCGTTTTTAGGGGTCAAGGGACTAAAAAAAACCAGAAAAAAAACCCACTCATCGCGCAGCATGCGCCTGCGCAGCGCGAATTCAAAGGCGGCCAGGTGGAGGAAGAGGTACTGCTCGGGGCGCTGAAAAAAAAACCGGTTTTTTTTAGTTGTCGTATTTTGAAATGTCGATATCTCAATTTTTCGGATTTTGCCATGGTCAAATCTCCCCGAAAATACGCAAAATCGGTGACCGAAAATTGGTACTAAACTGTTAGCGGGGGGAGGCTTATTTTTATTTTTTTTGGCTAGACTGTGGTTAATATATGGTATTTTTATAGCTTTTTAGTAGTTTTGATTGCTAGACAATTAAGGAATAGTTAAAAATATTTAGGTGAACGGCAGAAAATAGCCATCTTTTTATACATTTTGACCACGAACGAATTGGTTGTATATTTTTTATTGTTTTATGGCTAAAGACAACGCCAAATGCTATAAAAATAGTTTATTTTTTTATAGGGCCATTGAACTGTTTGTGCGGACAACTTTGTCCCCCGCTAACAGTCCAGTACCGGAAATTTGGATATTTCGACACTACGAAATTTTGGCATTTTCCCAAATAATCCCCTTCTCCCACCTGAACAGCCATGGCGCGTTGCGTGCGCAGCTTGAGCACCGTGTTCTCGACGTCGATGAGCGGGCCATCCGGGTCGTCTATCGACTCTTCGAGCCTCTTGCACAGAATGTCGAGCGCGACCAGCGTCGCCGAGCGGTTCACCCCGGTGTGGCACGAGACGAGGATCGGCGACTTGTCCTCACGGTTCAGCCAGCCGACCCCCTCGGCCTCCTCGACCAGCCCCTCGTACGCGTTGTTCAGGTCGGTCAGCAGGTTCAGCACCTCCGTCGGACGGGTCGGGGTGCTAAACGGGGAATTGACGACGTGAAGTTTCGGCTACGCGAGGCTTTACCATTATCAGGGGGGACTTGCTTATCCTTAGGATCGAATTTTTCGGTTCTTCCGCATTATTGCCGGGGATAATTTTTTTGTATAGATCTGCAAATGCTTAGCAGCTTAATAGGAAGTATTTGGCTAGTTTTTATTAAAATAAAACTGTTTGAAATAGAAAAACCATCCAAAAACTTTGAAAAATTTCAACTTAGTCGAAAACGGCTATTTTTACGCGAAAAAGCGATATTTTTGTATTTTTTATACAATTTCGATAAGTTTTTACATTTAGCGCTGATAAAGAACAGTTTAAAACCACTTCCGCAAAGAAATTGTCTCCCCCCTATAATGCGAAAGAACCCAATAATTAATAGATCAAAGTACCCGAGCCGCGTATCCCAGTCGTGGCAGATGACATGCAGCAAATGGCGCCACTCCTTCCCGTCCTTGGCCACGTGTATGTTGGTGGCGCAGTAGTGGCCACGCACACACTCATGGCTGCTCGCCTCGATCGTGAACGGGCCGAACGTCAGCGCCTTCTCCGTGTTTATCGGCAGGTAACGGGGGCAAGCCTAGGATTGTCGGATCTTTTGCATTTACGGGGGTGCGAGGTCAAACTGAACTGCTTGATACCCACCACCCCATCCAGCGGCACCATGTTGATGATGACGGGCACCTTCTCCTGCCAAATCATATGCCACCACTGCTCGGCGTTGTGCGGCATCGGCGACTGGGCCAAGATGTACGCCTGTGCGCGGTAGCCGGCCACGTAGCTCGCGTGGTAGTAGTCGTGGTCGGCGGTCGGGTGCTTCACCTGAAAGTTCGGGGTAGAGGCTATGCTTTTTTTAAGCAAGCTGTAGATGAACTAATACTGGATTGCTAGCAGGGGAGGGAGCCACTTTCTGTTTTTCCACCTATGCCGGCCTGTTGACGATGTATTATGTATTTTGATAGTGTTTTTAATAGTTTTTGATTGCTATAAAGTCATAGAACGATTTTTTTAATCTTGTTTTTATATCTAAAAACGGAGTAAATTGCTATAAAAATGGTTTATATTTTGTTATAGGGCCGTAGAAAACATAGGGAAAATTTTTGCCCCCCCCCCCCCCCCGCTAACAGGCCAGTACCGAACCGACAACCCGTTACCTTGACCCGAGTATCGTCATAGCAAGGGATATCCGTGTAGCGGTTCTGGTCAGGCCACTTCTTGTACGTCGAGATGGCTCTGCAAAACCGTCTTTAGTTGCGTAACGTAACGATTTCGCGGCACGGCTCTGAACTTGACGATGACGCTGACTTGCGCGGATCCCGTTGAATGACGGTGGTGTAGTGGAAGAACACGTTGTAGACGTCGCTGTCCGTCATCGCGTTCACAAACTCGGTGAGCGTCTTCTTGGACTGGTTCGGCCCCTTGAGGTCGTGCATGTACTCCCCGTCCAGCAGGTCGATACTGAACAACGGGTTTAATGTTGAGGTTGGGCGATTTTCTCACGTGATTGGTGGCCACACCGGGTCGTAGCCGACGCTCATCGTGGCCGCGCTCCCGCTGCTGCTCGCGCTGTTCGACGATTTGGAGGACTGAAAAAATGATTTTTGAGCAACAAAATTGATTTTTTACCTCATTGTCGCTCACTTGCGCCATTTTCGTCGACTGGAAAAAGTAGTTGCTCAATAAATGTGACCCACCTGGTAGTTCGAGTCCGAAACGACGAATGAAAAAGGTATTCTGAGGTTTTTGAGGAGAGCGAGCGGGTTCCTTGATGCAGTTGATAATTATGTAAATTTAGGAAATGAAAGTAGCGTTTAGGTCTGATCATTTGGGCAGGCTAGCAGAGACCCTTGGGGGATGTTTCCCTTACGCTAGCTAATTCAATTCGATTGAAATTCGGTGACCATTAACTTTATTTACTTTGCATTTTTTTCAGCCGCAACGATCTACCGTGAATACACGCCCGTCAGCAGCAAGCGCGGCTCAATCCAATATATGATCAAGATCTACGAGGACGGCCTATGCACGCCGACGATTTTGAAGTGGAAAGAAGGCAAGTAGCAGTCCATTTAGTTTCAACTATTTTTCTCAGGCGATGAGGTGCTGATCTCGGACCCGATCGGCGACTGGGACCTCTCGGAATGGCTCGTCGCCGACGATCTGCTCGTATTGGCGGCCGGAAGTGGGTGGACGCCGATGGTGGAGCTGCTGCGGCGAAAGCTCGAGCTCAACGACTCGGCCAAGTAAGACAATTTCCTGGAAGTCACTTTTCTTTGAATTCTAGAATTTCCGCCTTCTACTTCAACAAATCTGAGCGCGATATCGTCGACGACGGTTGGATGCCCTTCCGATGGCACGATAAGCGGATAAAGGTAGATTAAGTTGAGGTGTATAGCAACATAGTCAAAACAAGCATTTTAAAAGTTTTTAATAAAATGTAGCTAGATTTAGACAGGAAACCCTATTTAGAAAAACCAGCTAATTAGAAGTTTGAAAATTGTTAGTGGGAAAATCGATATTTGTCGCTTTAAGGTTGTTGTAAAGTTTTTCAGCTGTTTTTACCTTAAAAATCATTTCAGATCACCCATGTTCTTTCCCGGTCGACAGATGAATGGAAGGGCATTAAGGGAAGAATATCAAAAGAGTTATTCGAGGTAACTTTTTAGGCTATCATCTTCCACCGACTTTCATTTCAGGACCACACCTCCCAAAAGTCGACTCAACGCGTAATCGTCTGTGGCCCCGACGGCTTTATTCAATCGGCGCTAAGGTAATCACAAAGCTAAGGTAGAAATCTTTTTTTAGTATACTAGCCGACCTCGACTACGCCGTCGACCAAGTGCACGTATTCCAGGGCTAACATCCCCTGTGCTGTCTGTGATCTATAGGTTGCTATTTTTTGTGATACGATAAAGTTTCGAAGCCTTTTTTTGTGCCCGCGGAAACTACGAATGACCGGTAGCCACCCAAAAATTGTATCTCGCTTTTTGGGGGGCGGTGGGGGTGGGACGGGGGCTTTGCACATTTTTGATTGCGGATTACCGTTGTGGTCGGTTCAAAATGACCATACAACTTTTTTGAGGGGCAAGAGCGCTTTGAATTTTAGGTTTTGCTAGTTGTGGTTTAGTTTTTTTAGGTTGCACCTTCCTTTAGGCGACCAAATTGGGTTCTGATTCGTTAGTAAGGGGGATCAGCTTCCTCCACTCAGCTTATAACTAACTTCTATTGTAACAAAGCGTCGACGAATTTTAGCAGCTCCGGTTACTAAAAAGAAAACATTTTTGACCCAAAAGCAAATTTTTATTAATTTCTGCTACACTTTGTGCGCCAAAAATTTATATAAAATGCTATTCAAATAGTTTTTTTAGTATTCGGCGTCTCCTCGAACCTAGCAAAGCCTAGTTTCCTCCGCTAGCCACCCCCCCCCCCCGCTAACGAATCAGAACCTGATATTGTAGATCGTACTCCCCTTCCTTTAGGTGGCCAAATTTTATGCGACTTCCCGGGGCGGCTGTTCGGCTATCACATTGAACGCCGACCGGGGGGCGACGTGCGGCTCCAAGCCGCCTAGCCCTTTGGTCGGCTTATCTAAAGAGAGGCCGAGGGCCGCGAAAAGGGATTTGTGATGTGTCTATGTGTCCCCTAGCCGGGCCTCCCTCACTTCACTTCTCTCCCCCTCCTGCTGCTGCTGCTGCCAATAGGTTCTCTGTTCCCCTCATCCCGATCCCTCCCATATGACCCTCCGCCTCTATTCTCGTTTCCACCTCTTGGCTCGGACCCACCAAAAAGCTGCCTGCAAAAAAATAGCCAAACAACCTCGCAGCTCTTCCATTTGCCTCCTCCTCCTCATCCCACCTACCCTCCCACGAATATCACCCAACACCCAGCCCGTGCCGGCTATCTGTTGACCTAAGAAGCCGCTTTTTGTTGTTGTTAATCCAGGGTTTTAGAAAATGAGCGCGAAATCGAGCCTGGATCTACAGATTTTACAATTATTAAGCTTTAGGCGTTAGATTCAAAACTATTGCACGATGTTGCGTACCTTTTTAGAGGTTCTGTTGACCAAAAACGCGGCTTTTTGTTGTTGTTAATCGGTATTTTTAGAAAACGAACCCGAAATCTAGCCTGAATCTGCAGATTTTACAATTTTTAGCTTTCGGCTGCTTCAAGTTACATCTGTTCGACTATTCTAGCTTTTACTTACTTTATTATATAATTTTTTTAGATTATATGGATCGGCGCCGATAAATTGGGCATCTAAAGCCTCTATCTTTTAGAGGATTGTTTTTTTATCACTATCTCTTACTTTCTAGGTCTTTGCCTGACATCATTTCATTCTTTCACACCCCTCGCGCACGCCGGCCGCTCACATTTTTCCGGACGCCCGAGAGTATCCTTGATTTTGAAAAGATAAAGTCTCGTACAACCCCGCGATCCCCGGCCCAAATTCACCCTCAGCGCCTCACAAAAATTACCTGACGATTTTCCGGCCGATAACTGCCCCCGGAAACGATGCTAGACACCGGTTTTGGTGAGCTAACTTTTGTAAAAATTATGGGGGAGAGAATTATCGCCTCGACGCTGACCGCCAAATATTAGCAAAGGCTTTTTTCGTGTTTGTTTCGTGGGCTGCTATAAAAGTTTGTGTTTTTCAGGTTATCTTACAAGTTCTACACGCCTTTTCTTATCTTTAATTTCTTAATTTAATTATGAGAGTTTGGCTTGGAAATATTATTGTTTTTTTCTTTATAGGTGACTACTCCGAAATGTCGATCCCATGCCCGCCTCCTCCGGGGGAGGGCGAGGACATTTACAAAGGAAAGAAGGTAAGAAAATGATTATATTTCTCTTATTTTTGTTTTAAGATTATCATCGGCGTTTGCGCGATGCACCGGAAAGCGACGAGCAAGCCGATGCGCGCGATTATGGGCCGGATAATTGAAAATTATAAGGTGGGCCATAATCTGCAACTGATTACGCAGCGAAATGACTAGACTGTTTTTAATTATGGCAAACTTAATGACTGAACTGATCGTTTCAGGAGTGGCTCGAATATTTTGTATTCCCGGAAGAGGTGATTGTAAACGAGCCCGTGGAAAGGTGGCCCCTCTGCGATTGCCTCATCTCATTCCATTCTACAGGTACCGGCGTTTTTCGAGACTAGAACAAGCTCTTAGAATTCCCTCTTCACAAAGCTATCGCCTACCGGAAGCTCCGGAAGCCGTACGCCATCAACGACTTGCAACGGCAGTACGATTTGGTAGGAAATGAAGCCTATGACTTATGATAGTTTTTTAGCTCGATCGTCAAAAAGTTTTTGCGACCTTGGCCTACCATAGAATCTGCCATCCCCGGCATGGAGTCGTAATCCGCGATGGTGTTAGTGATAGTAAGTTTTTGGTTCTTTCGCATTATCGGGGGGACAGCTTTTTTCTAAATTTTAGGATCTAATTTTTCCGACAAAGATTGGCCACGTGTTTCTAAACGGTTTTTTACTATCTCTAAACGTGAAAACGGTACCGCAAACTTCGCTTAAAAATATATTGTTGTGAACGCTAGCTTTTACCGTCATAATGTGTTTTTACGCGAGACTACACAAAAAAAATCGCGTTTCAACTGCATTGTTTAAACGTTTTTCATTGGTTTTCCACTCAAAATACAGTTAAATTTTACTAGCGATAAGATTAAAACATTAATTATTGCATTACTAGGCATTTCTGGACTTATAGGACAAAAATTGAGAGGAACGAAAAATATTGCGAAGGCACCAAGATTTTCTGACAGCCGAATTAAACGAACTTTTGGATTTTACCTTTAAATTGATTTTTAATTACCCAAATTCGACGTTTAGAAAATGACCTCGTCGAACACCCCGATCACATCGAAGTAAATGGCATGGTTTTCAACAAGCCGTTCGTCGAAAAGCCCCTCTCCGCAGAAGACCACAACATCTACATCTACTACCCGAGCAACGTGGGCGGCGGCAGCCAGCGGCTGTTCCGGAAGGTGCGTGGAGTACAACTCCTCCCCCGAACATTGTACGGGCCCCTGTAGTAGCGTCGGTGTGGTGGCGTCATTTTCGTAGTGGCTTTTTCATTTTTCTTCATTGCATGAGTACCGCCTCTCACAACGCCGCCCCGCCGCCACCGGAAATGAATATACCCCTCCTACGTGCTTCTGAATGATTTATTAGGCAATTGTGAGTAGATTTGTAGAATTTCATTAAAGTATTTCGTTAATTTATGAATTTTTTGAAGGGGTAAATACTTAGAATAATGTTAATTCAGGTCGTTTTTATAGTTATTAGAGACCTAAAATTCAGATAAAAATATAGCTTTTCCTAGCTTTGGAAAATGCATTGTTCTGCCATGTTTTTCGACTTTTTTTAGAGCTCGTACATACTGTTTTCGAAGCCCAAAAGTCCTCTAGAATTACGTAAACAAGAAAAGGATGATCCAAATCTACTAAAAACTTTAAAAAAGGATGAATTGATTTTCTGCATTTTTCTCGTTTGTCTTGGAACTTGGACAGTCATTCTGAAAATGCCCATGTAGGAGAACGGTAGCGCTCTAAAAATCACCTGATAAATAAAATCACCACCTTCGCCAAAATCTTGCAAAAACGTTAGAAACTCACAATTTTTCTCCATATTTTTTTGAGCTTTAATTTAGAGCTTTACTACCAAATTTTCGCATCACCCGTACAGGATAAGGACAATCCTCGAGACTGCCGTAAATCTAAAACGATTTCGAAACGTTGGAAAACGTCAAATTGATTGCCTTATTTTTCGAGCTTCTTGTTTAGAACTTTGACACCCATTTTCGAAGTGCCCCGCCCCGCCGCTTGCTGAAAAAACGTTGGCTTTCCAATTTAGGGCCGGGACCCGGGAGACGAGGTGAAAACCGACGCCTCGGTCGACTCGGTCGCGTCTAGAGATGTGAGTAGTGCGCTTTTGCCAAACCGCTGCCCGGCTACCACCACAACCACCACCTCCTCAGCCCCAACCCAGACACCGCGTCCGGTCTGCTACTCGTGTTTTTTGCCGTCCCCGCTTCTGTGGCTGCTGCCCTTCTTCTCTCGCTAACACACTGTCGAACATATTGCCCCCGTTTTTTTTTTGGAGCTTTCACATTATCGGGGGGGTGGATCTTTTCTACAATTTCGGATATTCCTATGAGGTTATTTAATAGCTCTGAAGTGAATACAGCTAGATTTCAGGCGCAAATTTTTTTTTAGAAATGTTAAATGTTAAAAATTTCGAAATTTTGGTCTGAAAATCGATTTTTAAGTTTATACTACAATTTTTCAGGTTTTACGTTTAAAAACGCGGAAAACAGCGTACAGACTCCATTCATGTTGTAAAAATGTTATTCTACGTAAAAAAGTATTGGAAGTTTTCAAGCCTTGAAACTTCTTGGAAATTCCGTTTCTACAGAATGACCCCCGCCCCCGCCCCCGATAATGCAAAAGAACCCCGAATTCTTACTAACAGGGATGGTGTGGTCGTTTTATTTATGTAGGAACTGGACGTTAAATTGTAAAATTCTGAGAATTCAAGCTAGAATAAATGCGATTTTCTTGGCGAACCGAGTTAAAATTTTTGAAATTCTTGGCTTCTGATAAAGGCGCTTTCCCACAATTTCTTAGCCGCCCATGCATGCCAAGCCGCTTCGTGTGCTTGATTGTTCCCCCGAGTCAGCTTGCGTGTGCTGCTTGGAAGTGACGAAGCCCCCACCTGGCTTTGTGAATCACCACACCGGGTTTCAGATCAACAACCGCAGCAGCTGGTACTCCCCGAAAAGTGATGTCCGAAAAGACGGGTCGTACATCTATGAGGATTTCGTGCAAGCGGATGGCATTGATGTCAAGGTTGGATTTTGCAGAATTTTACCAACTTGCGTTTTCTAGGTATATGCGGTGGGCCCCTATTATGCGCATGCAGAGGCGAGAAAAGCGCCGGGACTTGACGGAAAAGTGGGTTTATGCAAAAATTTTTGTAAGGAATATACGTAATTTTTATACTTTAAAAATTTATAAACGATTTGAATAGCACTTAATTTTAAACATTAAAAACTTATACACTATCTTTCTCAAAACTCAATTTTATTTTTGAAGAACTTATAAATTACCTAAAATTTAAAACCCATAAAATATATCAATAGTACAAAATTTTATTTTTTAAAGACTATCTAGATTTTAAAGCAGATAAAACATGATAGGTACATATTTAATACTTTTAAAACTTGTAGGCTATTTAGCTTTTAAAACTGTATGATATGGAGAGTGCACAATTACTATACTACAAACTTCAAAACTATCTAACTTCACAAAACCTACGAAAATCCAGGTGGAACGTGACGCTGACGGCAAAGAAGTACGCTATCCGGTCATCCTCAGCCACCGCGAGAAGATGATCGCTCGAAAAATCGTGCTGGCTTTTGGGGTAGCAGTCCACTTTTTTTGCTTTAACTCCCCCAAATTCAGCAAACCGTCTGCGGCTTCGACTTGCTGCGCACCAACGGCAAATCGTACGTGTGCGACGTGAACGGGTTCAGCTTTGTGAAGACGAGCACGAAATATTATGAGGTAGTTCAGGGTTTATTTATTTAATTAACTTAATATTGTCTAGGATACCGCGAAAATCTTGGGCAACACCATTCTCCGGCGGTTGGCCCACATTTTGTCGAGTCCGGTGCAAATCCCTGTCTCGCTGCCACCGCTTCTAGATTTGGGCCTTGGAGGTGAGAAAATGGGTTTTGGACTGCTGGCGGAGGGCCCAAATTTTTCCCTGTGATTCTCTACGGCCCATTCAAAATATAAACCCTTTTTTTCCAATTTACATAGTTTTTCGATATAAAATCACTCATAAAAAAAAATTTGACTTTGTGATGAAAAATTTATGCAAAATTACAATAAGGTCATCATTTTCAAAATTGCAAGTTTTTAAAACTATGTTAATAACTTCTTAGCATTAAAAAACTGCTAAAAATACATTATATATCATCAACAGGTAGGTACAGGTGGAAAAAAAACCAAAATAGTCTCCCCCCCCCCCGCTAACAGTCCAGAACCAGAAAATGTGACATCAAAATTTGTACTTTTTTAAGATGATCCACCCCTCGTCTCGACCCCTTCCGGAAAACTTATGGAATTACGCTGCGTTCTGGCTGTCATCAGACATGGTGATAGAACCCCCAAACAAAAAATGAAGGTAGCTGCTGGTTTTTGGCTACGAAGAACAACTCAAATTTTAGGTGATCGTCGACGACCCCCGATTCTTTGCCCTCTTCGAAAAGCACGAGGGCTATAAAAAAGACGGAAATCAAGATGAAGCGCCCCAATCAGCTGATCGAGGTGCTCGAGCTGGTGCGCGAGATTCTGCAGGAGCAGCAGGTAAACCGGAACTTGTAGAAGCGCTAACATTTCCTGTTTTAGTCTCAGCGCAACGACTTGCTGCACCAGTTGGAGGAGTGCGAGGAACGGGGAGAATCATCGCAGAATGTAAGTGGAATTTTACTAATCAGCTAAGCAAAAAAAAAACTGAAAACCGCCTAAATTTCAGGTGGAGCAAGAGCTGGATCGCGTGGAGGACACTGTGAAGAAATGGGACCAAATGCGCTCGGTGCTCGAAATGTATGCATTTGCCGACTTGAGGATGGGCCTGGCCCGCGTAACAAAAACATTGGCACGGGGCTCGAGCTCGGAGGAGGAGCCGAGGAAAGCTGCTGGAAAAACCCTAGGTCACGATGAGTCGACCTCCTCCTTAGATGGGTTGGATTGGGTGGAGGTTGAGGATCCGGCTTCCTCCCTGCTTTGCCCGGATGCGCCGATGGCCAGTCGGAAGTCGAGTGGGGTGCTGCTCAGACCCGTGGAATGATGGATGTTGTATTTAATTTTTGTAAAGTCGTATTTTATATAATTTTGCATGAGCTGAGCATGAGCATCATCATTAGAAGAGATATATAGAGATATATATATATAGAGAGATGAGTTAATTTTGATAGTACCCCCAACTAACTGTATAAAAAACCTCCTGCTCCTCCGACCGATCACCATCATCACCAGCTCAACGTTGCTACGCTACGGGAACAGCCTCCAAGAAACATTTGCTATGTCGACTAACAAATAAACCGTTTTTCGTTTCTTGAAACAACCATAACCCGAAGCACGAGCTAACTACCAAAACGTATCGCATGAGCATGAGCATGCAAAGCACACGATCCGATCGAGCTTCTTCCTCTGACCTCGTTGCACCTTGTTTTGACGTTCGGCGTAGTTTGTGGCGGCTGGTCTTATCTGATTAGGGTCGGCTGGTTGTAAACCCGGAAATGTTGACAAGCAGCCGGTTGTCGTCGCCAAGAAATACGGCCAGAGGAAGCTGTCTATCTCCTCGGGCCCTACCACGTTCGTGTCGTAAAGATAATTTGGTTATCTCCACGGTTGTAAATGGCAAAAAGGGGAGAGAAAAGCCAAAAAGAGAGGGAACGGTCTGTGCTAAATTGTGCTGTTTTGTGTATGGTTTAGGAAAGTGGGCGGTGATTAATAAGAACTGATATCTAATGTTTGGTCGCATTGGACTAGCTTTTCCTTGCGAATCCAAGGGTTTTCGAAGGGAAGAGCTAATGAATCTAGCTCTTCTCAGTTAGGAGAAAAACTTTAAAGGAGATACGGGGACATCTAAAACACTTTTTTTCAGGTACGGGCACTTCTCCGGCATCAACCGCAAAGTTCAACTCAAATACCTGAAGGCCCGCGATGTCAAGAGTGGCGAAAGCAGCGAAGAAACGAAACATCAAGCTCCCGCCCTGCTTCTAATCCTCAAATGGGGCGGCGAATTGACGACAGCAGGTTTGTATTAGCGTTATCCCAATTAGATTAAACTTTTCTGACAGGAATCACTTCAAAAGCGACCCGAAATTACGCGATAACTGACCGATATTGCTCATTTTCAGAATTTTCAGTGTTTTTCAGTATCTTCAGCGTTTTCAGCATTGCTGAAAATCCGGCCCGTGCCCTCGGGGCACGATTTTCAGCAATGCTGAAAATACTGAATCCTCGCGTAGCCTCAGGCGTCGAAAATACTGAATATACTGAAAATAACGCGTTTATTATGCAGATTTTCCCATCTATCATCCATGCCACGGTGGCCGAGTGGTTAAGGCGTTCGATTTATGATCGAATCCGGTTGAAACCGGGCGCGGGTTCGATCCCCGCCCGTGGCAGATTTTTTGCTTCTGCGCAATTTTTTGCCTGGACACCAGAACGCTATAAGATTTTGCGGGTGATTTCATGGTCAGAAACTGCGCTTTCCGGTTCTATTTGGAGGTTCTAAAAATGAAAAAATTGTCGGAAGCTCTACATTTAGATTTATTCATTATACTAATGTATAATTATCATTATTTTCAGGAAATCTTCAAGCCGAAGCCCTCGGCAAGCTGTTTCGCACGCTTTACCCAGGAATCCGAAGGACAGACGGGAAAAGCAGCCCGGAAGATACGCAAGGATTGGGCTTTTTGCGTCTCCATTCGACTTACCGGTTTGCACTATTTTCTTACGTTGTATGATCCTTCTAGGCATGATCTCAAAATATACGCAAGCGACGAGGGGCGAGTCCAGATGACGGCCGCTGCTTTTGCTAAGGTATCTTAAAGTTCTAGCGAGGTGAAAAAACGATTTTTAGGGACTTTTGGCTTTGGAAGGCGAGCTGACGCCGATTCTGATGCAAATGGTGAAGAGCGCAAACACAGACGGGCTTCTGGATGACGATTTTAACGCGCGAGATGTGCAAAACGAGCTGAAACACTATTTACACCAGGCGTTACAGGTTTTTCGGTGCAAACGTCCTGAATTAGTATTTTAGGTCGATCGTGATTGGTCCTACGAAGATTTTGAAGCGCTCAACCCTAGTGGACTTAAGTCGATACAGGTATCCTATTTTCTAGCATCTTTTAAAGCTTTTTTTAGGCTGCTATGGAATTCATCAAGAACCCGAAGAAAATGTGCCACGAGATTGCCGACTACGTGAAACGCATGTGCGATGTCGTCCAATTACACAAGCAAACGAAGCCTCGTAAGCCATTTCAAATCGATTTTGGATTTTCATTCGTTTAGAACGAACGTTGTACCTCAACGAATCCTGGGATCTGTCGGAACGGCGGTGGCGCAAGGAACTCCGCGAATTCCAGCGCCCGAATAAGAACGGGGGGTTTGAGTACGACATCAGCAAGATTCCGGATATCTATGATAATATTAAGGTAAGAAAAACCAGCTAGAAGAATTTTTTCGGGAAAAAATACCCCTCAATCCGTTTTATGCAAACCCTTTTGTTCAGTACGACATGGAGCACAACCCGGAGCTGTGCGACAACATTGAGGGCGAGTTCGAGCGCTTTTACCTGTGCGTGAAGGCGATGGCCGACATTGTTGTGCCTCAGGTTTTATTTTGGTTTTTGAGACTTACGTAGGTTTTAGGAATACGGCATCAAGGTGGAGAACAAGATCCACGTGGCGCAACGGGTTTGCACGCCATTGGTGAAGAAGATACGCAACGATCTGCATAGATGTATCGCTGATCAGGAGGAGGATGAGAGTCAGACGAGACTGGATCCGCGGTGAGAATTTTTTGAACCTGGGACTTTTGGTGCTGGGTTGTTAGCGGGGAAGGACTGCATTTTTTGCAAGCTTTACCTAGTCGGTACTTTCAATAGCTTTATGAAGAAACACAAAGTATTCTAACATTCGCTTTTCAGGTGGAGATACGTCACTAAAACAGATTACATTGTCGAAATTTGTTTTACTTTTTGAGAATTTTTTAATTCGAATTTTCTTCTTTTTTCCAATTTTTCTAGAACGTTTTGTTAAGCGCTAATTAAGACGCTATAAAATGATTTATTTTGTTTATTCTGGACGTTACGCTGAAATACAGAAAGTCCCCCCGCTAATAAACCAGGCAGATTTGCAAAAAACCATATTTTTTTTTCCTAGAGCATCACAAGGCATCGCTACACCCCTACGACATGTTCGGACACGCCTCTACTTCACCAGCGAATCCCACATCCACACACTGATGAACCTCATCCGATATGGAGGGTTATGCTCGGTAAAAAAGGCGCCTCAAAAATTCTGTAATTTCTGGTTTAGGTGGACGACAAAAAGTGGCAACGCGCCATGAGTTTCCTATCGACCGTCACCGAGTTCAACTACATGACCCAGGTTGATGAGAAGAAGATGTATTGCTATTTTCGTTTCAGGTCGTTCTAATGGTGTACGAGGACAGCTCGCAGACGGGCGGCGAGCGCTTCCACATCGAGCTGCTCTTCTCGCCCGGGCTCTATCCGTGCTTTTTGACCGAAAAGGAACGCATCTACGAGACGCGCTTCAAGTATGGTTCTTGCAAGGTCTACATCGAAGCTTTTTCAGCTCAAAATCGAGCAGCATGAAGAAGAGCGAGTCGAAGGACGAGCCGTCGCTCAACTTGACTGGGACGGCGCGTTCGGATTCGAGGGTTGAGTTTTTACATAGTAATTAATATTTTTAGCAAGTTTTGAAAAGTAAAGAGCTTCGAATTTAATGTTTATTTTACTACTATATTAATTTTTTCTTTTTTTTCAGAGCGAGAGATCCTCACCAATCATGCCCGCCACCACCCTCACCAATCTGAACGTGCCGACGACCTCGGAGGACACCGTTTCCGTCGCTTCAACGAGTAATGCTACCGCTCAAGGTATAACTTTTTGCCTTGACAAACGTTTGAACGTCCAGGTCTCGTCGTGCAAGCCCTCTCCAAGCCGCCGGGCCCCGATTCCGAGGATGACCTGAATGACGGGGAAGCCGTCAATCTGGTCGCCCTCGACGAGGTCACCAACAAGCAATATGGTTCGTGATTTTGAGCGTATTAGTATTAGATCCGATGCCTCAGCTACACTCACCCGGTGTGCATGCTCTCTTTCAAACTGTTGCTAGCTCGGCGCCTAGTTGCTAACCCGGATCTCGGTTTTAGTGGCCAGCGAGAAGGAGGCGATCAGGAAGGGCACCAAGGGCAGCGGCTCCGAGAAGGCCAGTGAAGATGGGGATGTGCCGAAGGATAAGGTGAGCTTTTTCTTCCCGTCACGGCATCGTAAAAAAATTTTTTTTTGAAATGAACTATCTAAAAACCCTAGCTCATATTTTTACAAGCTTGACATGGAAATGACAAGCATTTTTCGGTATTCACGTTTAACGGGAGGCAAAATTTTTCAATATTTTTAGTTTGTTTGGAGTCAAAAACTACTAAATCCACGATAGAAACACGCTATTTATTATTAACAATTAGGTCTGGGCGGAAAAAAACAAAAATTCGTACCCCTCCGCTAACAGTCCAGTACCGAAAAAGCTTTTTCTTTTCAGGAAGACTGGAACAAAACGTGGCAATCCCGTGGTGAGCGCAGCGGCAGCCAGCTGAGCATCGGCGATGACCCCGACAATCAGGTACCCAGCTCCGTTGTTTTCGTCCATTTTCCGAGACTTTCCAGTGTACGATCGGCCCCGGAAAGGGCAAATGGGCGAAGGACCTTCTCGACGAAGCCAAGAAGGCCATCCAGGCCATCAAGGAGGAGGAGGAGCCCCCAAAGTCCGGTACGCTAGCGATTTTGAGGTTTTCTTGTCTTTCAAAAAACCTAGCTCGCATTTTTCATAATAAAGCATCATTTGCAACCCCCTTTTTAGTGAAAAAGAGGGAGAGTAATAGCGAGGAACGAGCGCTAGAGACAGGTTTGTTGGCCCCCCGATTCCCCCGAGCGACCCCTTCGGGCAGCACCCTTCCCAATTTGATTTTTCTTGCCTTGTCGTTTTGCTAAGGGCCCATTTTTGGGTGCGAGAAGGCTAAATTGCGACCGAAAAAGCTTCGAATGAAACGCAGCTTTCGATTTAGCTTTCTACGCTCCTCTCTGACAGCCCCACCCATACTAACCACGCTCTCTCTGATTAGTGCTTTTCGTTTTTGGCCCTCGACGTTGTCTGGTGCTGGTTTATGATTTTGGGGGTTAAGCCGAGACGAGAAATGAGGTTTCTGACGTTTGACACGAAGGGATGCACCTTTAAATGGTTTATTCTCAAAATTTCGAAATTCAGAAGGTCGAATTTTCGTAACGCCGAAATTCAGCTTGCCGGAATTCGCTAATGCCGAAATTTTTACTTTCTTATTTGGAGAATCTACGCGGAGATTTTTTTCATGGAAAAAATAGGTTCCTTGAGATTTCGATATTATAAAATTCTACATTATTACATTTTGGCATTATTAATTTTCAAAAATATTAAATTCAACATTGTTAGATTTCGACATTATGCATTTCCAAACTAAATTGCGATTTCGACATTAATAGCCTTAAAACTTTTTAACGTTCGACATAAAACGTCGATATTTCGAATTACCTTTTTGATTTTTCGACATTATGAAATTTCTGCATTGCTAAATTTCGACAGTCTGCCAACAAAGCCTCAAATACCATTTTAGGCTTGTCATTTCGCACTTCCGGCCTAACTCCCCTGCGCCCCCTACGCGCTTTCCAATTGCACATCCACACATTCTTTCCGTTTTCGTTCGTTAATATCGGTGGTGTAGTTGAGTATCTCGGTGATGGTGGTGGTCAACCAAAAAAAATTGGTGAAAAAAATGGTATTTTCAATTTTAGCGCGCCGCTCCCGGTTCCCCTACCGCTTCAAGCATCACACCGTCAACCTGCTCAGCGGTTTGTTTTTGGTTTTTTGGTGAACCGTTTTTCGGTTTTGCTTCTACTAAATCGGACATTGGAGGGTGAAAATCTGGTACTGGACTGTTAGCGGGGGGGTGGTTCCGCTAGGCACGTCATCTAGTTTATTTCCCCTTAGAAATATTTTTAATTCGGACAGAAAATATGTTGTTTTAAAAATATTTTGACGTAAATTCAAATTTTTAAGAATTTTGTTGAAATTCTATATTTTTAACAATTAATTATTAAATTTTAGATTTATAAGACTTGTATTTAAAATTGATTTACTATGAATCTCTATACTTAAAAATAGCGTAAAGAGCCACAGAAATTGTATCTATTGCATTATAACAATTCTATGGGGGTGGCAATCTAGATTAGTCCCCCCGCTAATAGTCCAGTACCAGAAAAGCTAAATAAAAAACCGATGAATTAATTCTGGTTTCAGACGCGGCCGCCGTCGAGAATCGCCTCATCTCCACCGACGTGTTGATGGGCCGCCTCGACGACAAGGACAAAAAGAAGCCGCTTGGGAGTATGGCGTTAGACACCGCCACTGATTTCCTCAGTCTTAGGCTTCACCAACACGGCGGTCCTCTCGACGGCCGTCATCGCCCGCTCGTCCAGTGCTCCTCGTCTACAGACGTACCGGGCCGAGGAGGAGATCCCCGTGGCTGGTATGTGGCTCTTTTTCGAAAAAACACACTATTTTATGCTTTTTATAAGCCTGCGTTTTTTATATTAATGTCGTATGAGTTTGTACATTGTTATTGATATATTTGAGGATTATAACTGTATAAATTTTAAGTAAAACTTAATTTTAGATAGAAAATTTGATTTTTGGGCCGAAAATGGCCAAATTTGGAGCTTTTCACAAGTTTTTCGAATATTTTTCAAAGCGTTTCTGCTTCGAATATAGTCTGAACTGATTAGGAACTATATAAAAACAATATATTTGATTACTGGGCCCACCTGGAAATATAGGAAAAAAAGGTCCCACCGCTAAAAGACAAGAACCCGTTTTATTTTGTAAATTTTATAGTCTAAGTCTAAGTTGTTCGACACGTGTAAAAAATTCTGCTTTGCGGGTAAAAATCTACACGTATATAAAATTTTTTCATTTTTGCGTGTTTTTCGATTGGAAATTAACAAAAGTCGCACGGCTTGCACGCGACCAATTGTTTAAATTAATTGGTTCTTTAGGATTTCCGGGGAAAGTATTTCCGGGAAACCAAATTTTTTCGGCCCAAGCCTAAATTTTTTTCTAAATAGCGCATGCGTTTCTAAATGGTTTTTAACTATTCCTGAGCATAAAAACTACCCACATTTTAATTAAAAAATTTAATTTTAGGTCGAAAAATCCCATAGAACCTTTAGGATTAGCGGGGGGGAAAGACCCAAAATGACCAATTTTCGACTTTTTCAAACATTTTTCTAACTTTTTCGAAAGGTTTTTCTACTTTAAATATAGTTAAAATTTACTAAAAACAATGTGAAAACACTTTATATTTGATTACTAGGTCAACCGGGAAAAATAGGAAAAAATTTGGTTTCCCCCGGAAATACTTCCCCCCCCCCGGAAATCCTAAAGAACCAATTAATTTTTTACCCTACTAAGCAACTTTAGCTATCAAAGAATATAGCGTATGTGGTAATTGAGGGTATTTTTTTGCAGAAATCAAGCGCTTCTGGCCGCCACTACGCTCGCTGGAGACGCTGCACGACAGCATCTCGTTCGACCAGTTCGACCAGTTCCTCGGCTCGCTGCTCAGCAAGACGACCCCGCTGCCGTCACCGCCCAAGACGCCGCTGCCACAGGAGCCCGTCGGCGACGCGTCCACCCCGACTGCACCGTTTCCGGATACGGATTCTAGCCGGACATGAGTTCTTCTACGTCGGTTACATTCAAATTTTGCGTCTTTTTTTTGCTTCATTTGCCACTTTTTCTGGTCCAAGACCATTGAATTTTCTCGAAAAAGCAACTTTGATATCACAAAATTACTGACATCCTTTTCTAGATTCACTTTTTTACGCTCAGGCTTTGCTAGGTTGTGCGCTCTTTCCTGTTTTCATCTCTATGTGGTTCGTGATACTCTGGTACTACCCCCGCGCCCTTTTCAGCCTGTGATATTCTCAAGTATTCTTCTTCTTGTACGTCTTCTTCTTTTTGGTTCTCCACGTAAAAGGAAGTTATCGATTGATTAAGAATAAATTTATATACAGAACGTAATGTAGCGAAAATCACAGATCACCGACACGCGTCATGGAAGCGGGATATTTGACCTTGGAAATTGAAGAATTTAGGATGCAAAATATACAATTTTGTAGGGGATATTCGGCTATAAACTACAAGTTTCAAGTCTACACAAAATTGGATCGACAGATACATTAATAGACAAAGTACAATAGTAATTTCAAGTTAAAAAGTGTTACCTTTCACTTTTTCTTTCGAATTTTTGAGGTTTTTCGACTACAAAGTACAACTTAAAGACTGCATTAGATAAATAATTTAGTTTGGCTGTTAGTTAGTTAGTTGCATTCATAGAAAAGTTACAAAAATATGGACAATACCGGCGATCACTATAATTTTTTAAAACAAAGAGAAAGGATATTTACATTAATGTATTAGGGAAGATATATTCGACATTTTAGGCTTTAGGAGCGAAAAAAACACGAAAAACAAGCTCTTCAAGACGTTCAGCAACGTTCTCGGCTGGTTCGGCCGTAGAATACGTAATCCCTATTCTAAGTCATAGCTCTAGCTCAAACAAGCCGCAACCACGGTGTGCGCCGCTTTGACGCCGACTTGATCGACTTGTCGGTCCAGGTGGCCGGCTTGGCCGTGGCGAGAAGGCAGAAGATGCCGTTCGTAACGAGCAGGATGACGGCGTGCAGGATGAAGATTGTTCTCCACTCCTCCACGGAGCCCTTGTGCAGAAGGAGGCCCACCTGAAGCGGGAATGGATTTCGGGTTTGGGCTTGGTTTTCCAAGAATCTTTGCTAGCTTGCCCTAGCCAGCGCATTTTGAGTTCTTTATTTTTCCTATATAATTTTGGTCGCAAAATCGATATTTTATAGATCATTTGGAAAAGGTTCTAAGTGAGAAAGACCACAAAATAAAATTTGACTATTTAAGTGGAAAAATTAGCGTAAAAAATTGATAAACGAATTTTTGGTCCAAAGATTTTTAAGAATTTTTTGTGAAATTTTTGCAGAAACTCTTTTTCTTTCTAGTTGAAAAACTTGACCTAGGATCGGCCTTAGTCCCCCTATAATGCAAAAGCTCCGCTCTAACAGTAAGATAAGCTTAGGAAAAGTCCCCGTTAAAATACCCACCAACACGGGGCAGATGAGCATCGCCAGACACCAGAGGAACTGAATGTTGGCCAGCACAAAGTGCGAATATTGTCGGGAGACCAGGGCGGCACACTAAAGCTTTCGTGTTTTAGGCTTGATTTTTCGCCTGACCTTGTTGAAACCGCCGCCGTTGAAGCCGAACATCGACGTGGTGAGGGTGATCAGCACCATGCCCAGCGTTGGATGCCCTAAATTAAAATTTTTTGGATGAATTTTCGGGGTTTTTTTGCGGGTTATAATCCCGTAATACCAACCTTTGGGGACGAACGCCAAGACGATCATAAAGCGGGCGCTGCGCCGAGGGCGATCGAGTTGTAGATGCGCAACTTGGTCGTCTCGGAGATGCCGTGGATTCGGTCGGAGCTGTGGCCGGCGAGGACCTGAAGGGCTCGGTTTTAGCGGGTTGGGAAGGAGGATTTTAAAAGTCTTGATTTTCTGACCTCGAGTTCGGTGCTTGCGCAATATCGGGGGGGGGGGTTCCTATCTGTCCGGAAATGTCTAGTAAAAGCTCCATAGTAGCTCTTTTAAAAGTATTTTTGGTATAATTTAAATATATTAAACGCGAAAAAACAATAAAACATACCTCGAAAAAAATTTTTAGCCTAGGATTTGATCGAAAAATCTTAAATTTTTGTATTTTTTTCATGAAAATTTGTGAAGTTTTTACGGAAATAGTAGAAAAGAGCTTATGAAAATGAGAAAAACTTTATATTAGTTTGTTTTTATATTTTTTGGTTTTTTTTTGTTTTTATTTTTTTATTTGTACTTTATTAATTTTGTCCCCCCCGATAACGCAAAATAACCCCTCTCCTTAATGCCGAAACCTCACCCACCTTGACGATAAACTGGACGAGTACAGGCAACGCTGCCGACCATCCAGTCTTTTCCATCGAAAAATCGAGCACCGTCTTGATGTAGAGGGGCGAGAAGGTGTGGATCAGCTGAACGTTTTTCCGGTACAAAAAAAAACATAAA